TTTCTTTGCTTGCTTTTTTTCTCAAGAACATACTGAAACCATACTTAAAAGTTAATTAGGGCAGGGAGCTAAATTCCAACTATTAACTTAGATTCCAAGTTGCATAAGGATAAAAGCCTCGTGCTTGAGGAATGTGGAGCTCCTCAATCTTGATAACTATCTAACTGGGTATGTGACTGTGGCAAATGTGAAAGTGAAGGGAGTGATACCCACCTGAATCAATTTTGTACTCTTGCTAAATATACTTTTCATGCTTTTGTCAAATAAGCTTCTTTTGTTCAATGTTATTTGGTCTGTGTCTCATTCTGTACCATTCTCAAGCCTGAACACCCAGGTTGGCCTGAGTTAGAGCTAGTTCAAACATCTTCCTTCAAGCTCAAAACTCATTTCTAAGAAACTTCTAATTAGCCCCAAGTTTATTTTTTTAACTCTTCAGTCACATATGTGGTCTCATTTTACTCTCACCACCAAGGAGGCAGGTACATCTTTCTACATGTACCTACTGTTGAGAGCAAATATATGAATGTGGAAAGAAGCTGACTCAAAGAGGATAAAGTGATACATAAGTGCAGTTCATCCCATTTGCTCACTAGGTGTTTGTTTCCCACTTGGTTAGCAGAACATCAGCTTTGCCACTGTCCTCATTTTGTTCTATGTGATTCTTTGGGTCTCCCCAGCTAAATAAAAAGGAGATCATTTAACCACAATATCTTAAAATTTTCAGGCTATAAAGAACAATTTAGAATGAGCTCATAGTACACCATTCCCTTATAAGGAACATTGTAGATAGCCCATAGCATCCCATCCCTACTCATTTGTCAAAGACTAACAAAGATTATTCTAATTACCTAATTCAGTAATGGCCATACCCCCCTTCAGGCCTCACCTAGTGCTTTATTTGAACCTCTTCTGTGCACAAATCAATTGCTGTGCACATAATGACTAACAAATTTTTCTGGAATCAAACCCACCCATTTTGGAGATGAGTAAATTCACTAGAGAAGTGAAATGATTTACTGGATATTTCTCAGTTAGGTTTATTTGCTAGGTTTTTTTTTTTTTTCTTTCTTTATTTCCCCCCAGGGAAGGAAAGAAGGCAAATGCTAGTTAATTGAAAAAAGACCAGAAAAGAATACTCAGGCTTGTATTTTGTCTTAATATTACAATTACTTTCTTCTCTAATCAGTAATAGAAATCTGCAGACAGTTTCTTGAAGAAAAATAGTTTTGCTTCTTGTCTTGGGTTTCTCCAAAAGGTATTAGCAGAATCGCTAAGAGAGTTATTTATTACATCTCCCCAAAAAAGAAATGCTAAAAACTGCAAATAACTCATGACAGATACTTAAAACATGAACAGGCATTTCGCTTTCACCTCAGATCTACCTCCTGGGAAGTTCATTCATGGTATGTCATCTAACTGGCCTGGCATAAACAACTCCTCCTTCTGAAGATGGTCATTTCCTCTCATAGTGCTTGCTACAAGGAAGACCTCCCACAGAGCAGTCAGCATGCCCTGAGGAACCTAGGAACTCCGGAAGTCTTGGAAGCCACTAAACTTGAAAAGAACATCTCACATTATCACTGGTCACCTGTGATCAGGGAAAGAAACACAACACAGAAGCATATTTTGATATGTGCTCTCAAGCTCACCTAAACAGCACATACTCTTACTGAAATGCTTGAGCAGTCACAATTGCTGCTGGGGGATGCTGATACATTCCCCTCTCCTGGGAAGTCCAAGGGAAAAACTAAGAGTCATGTCATGCTCAGCAGACAGGAAAAGAAAGCAAGAAAACAGAATCATTCCTTTTAAAGTCTACCAAGTGGGCACTTATTCCTGACTCAGTAACCAAGATTTATGAAAAAAATTATATTTAAACATCTTCTAATGCCAGCATTTATTTCATGAAGTGTCACAATGCATATCTGCATTTTCTTTGACAAAACCCTCAGTTCTGGGGAAGGGAAGTTTAGGGAGCATACATGAACACCAACCAGAAGCCTCTTGTTGTGCATATTTTTTTATCTAGGGGCCCTCCCACCAGTTGTGACCAGATTGCAATCTCTCCTCCAGGGAGAGTTCCCCATTCTGTAGATTGGGATGCAGAGCTCCCCACCCGCCACAAACACCTCCCACATTACCCCAATTCTAATCTGTTTTTATTTGTTATCTCTGTGACATTGGGCAAGTCCCTTAACTTCATTGTCACTCAGTTTCATCCACTGTGAAGTAATTGGTCTTAAACTACAAGAGCCCTTTCAGCTCTAAAACTATGATCCATAGCAAAGAGCAGATAAAACTCACCTCAGGTCCTTTATGCCATAGTGATACCTGGCACAAAGTGTGCCAATTGTTACATAAACATTTCTATTTGAAAATATTAGAGTGATTTATTTTTAGAGACCTCTAATATAAAGATTAGTTTTCTCCATATTTCTGTTGAAAATAATTCAGAATAGAAGGCACTGACATAGTCAATGTTGAGGTATACCCATAAAAAAAATTTTCACTCGGTACTTACGCTATTTTTTGGCTATATTCTATGACTTGTTTTTCTTCTTTGCAGCATTTTAATTTCTTCCTTGCTTTTACAAAGGTAATTTTTAATGTGAAATTGTGTTTAAACATCTTGTGAAGCAACATATTTATTTCAAAAAGTGTTTTACTACCTGTCTATATGCCTTTTGCCTATTTTTACATTCTCATTCATGTACCTTATTTCTTGTGTAAATGTAACAAATTTTCCTTCATAAGAAACCTATAGCTACTACATGTTTTAAGTTCTTGCTTAAACACTCTTACCAACATCAAAACCAAATGATGACCCAAATCATGCAGTTCCTAGATCCTGAATTGATTTCCCATCTTTACTTCAATATTCTAGCAGATCCAGGATCTCACTGATGTGAATATTCCCTCTAAAGGTAGAGATCATACACTTTCTGTACATGCTTGGCCAGTGCTTGCTCTTCTTTGCCCATAAATTTGAGTCAGAGTGTCCATCCTATTTGATGGCCATCCACCTTGTGTTCTCCTGACATTATAGAGAGAACAATGGAGCTGAAAAGATGACCATTAGTTGTTTCTCATTCCTACTATATGACCCATCTTTTTTCTATCAATAACGTTTTTCTTCTATGACATCAGTTTTTCCAGCCTTACATTGGAAAAACCATGCATCTAAGTATGATAAGTAGTAAATATAATATTTAATGTAGACTAAAGTGCATATGGTTTTTCTTAATGTGGAAACAATTGTGTGTAAGATTAGTCACTGCCTGACTACATGTATTTTTTACTAAGCACCTACTCAAGGCAGCATGTCATTGTGGCATTGTATTTGAAGTCAAGAAGACCCAGGTTTAAATCCTCCGTTAAATATTTACTAGATGTGTGACTCTGGATGAATCACTTAACTTTTCTGTGCATCAATTTACTTCTCTGTAAAATGAGTAGATTGCATTTGATATCCTATAAGATCCCTTCCAGACATAAATCTGTGATCCTGTGACTTTGGTAACCTTGTCATTTCTGGCTGAGTTTTAATGCCCAGTTTAAGGGTAATGTTATGGGTGTTATTTATGAGACAATAAAACAAGTTATAGCATTACATAAAGAGGCTTAATGAAGTATTACATTTTGAAATAAAAGTTTCCAACGCAAATTGCAAACTACAAAATTTCAAAAAATGTAGTGTATTGGGGATTTTAGTTGTCATTTTATATTTGTTACTAGAGAAAGACAAGTGGTTTCATGTTATTTTCCACCTTATTTTTAGTCTGTAACTGAGGCAACTAGGGACAATGCATAGGTTTAAGGAAACTGAAAAGTCATCTATGTAATATTATACCCAAACCATTTTGAAAAATAGATATTATTTCTCTTGTAGAAGATTTAAGAGGTAGAAGATTACACACCTTCCTTCAGGATTTTTTACAATAAGAGGATATTAGAGTTGGAAAGAAGTGTAAAGATATAATCCAAGTCACCTTCATTTTATAGGTGAAGAAAGGGAGACTCAGTGAGATTAAGCATTTTGCAAACAATCACATGGCTAGTAAGTGTGCAAACCTGAGCTAAACCTGAGGTCATCCAATTCCCAGAACCATTATTTTGCAGCTCTCACAGATAGTAAATTGAAATAACCCCTTCTGCACATCTACTCATTGACCTTCTTGGGAAGCATTTTAGGCCCCCAGGATAAATGGAGTTATAAATAATTCCACCACTCATATATATGATGGGTTCATAGAGCGAGGGAGTATTTTAAAAAATAGCAGAGAATTTGGGGAGTCTATGTCAACAGGAGCTATCTGAACATTGTGAATGTTGCTACATTAATAAAGAGACGTGCCAAGCACTACTGGCAGGTAGAACTGAGGGGCTCCTACTGGGTGAAATTTCAGAAGCATCCCAAGTGCCTCAAGTAATGCCACATACATCTCTTCCTAGGGTTAAGGCCTTTGTTAAAATGTAAATGTAGCCACTCTTAACTATTAGCACTAAGCTAGATAAATTAACTTATCAGGTTATCTGGTAAAGATCAGGATTCTAAGGTAAAAAATATAGGACAGGTATGGATATATGTTTTGATGAAAGGAAGAGGATGAGAAAAACAGGTTGATAGGACAAGCCCAGGAAGGATTCCATATTGGGGTTCCCTGGCAGCCAGACCAAAAATGGCTGTTGACAGGGTTGGGAAGCAGAGGGAGAGAGTAGAAAAGAAAGAGGAAGAACTCAAGGCAGAGCAAGGTAGGCACCAATCATAAACTTCACCTACTTCAGAATTTTGCTGTGTCAGCCATGGATACCAATTAATCTTTAATTTTATAATAATCTTAAAAGGAAGACTCCCAACTTCCATAGATAGGAACATAGATCAACTTCAATCTCATA